GAGGGGGGGGGGAAGGGGGGGAGGAGGGAGGGCAGGGTGCTGGGGTGGAGGGGGCGGACCTGGGAGGGGGGGGGGGGGGTGGAAGGCCGCCTCCGAGCTCCGATCCGAGCTCTTCCCAGCAAATGTTCACGGGTCCCGCAAGTGTTTGCTGCAAATAAACGCTGGCCTGAAAGTCACTGTGTTGGTGAAAGCCTCGCTGTCGTCAGCGGTGGGGTCTGGGCGCTTCCCTCAGCCCTTCAGCTCAAGGCCGCGTGCTACCTGAGCCACGGCGCCGCTTCTGGCTTTGGTGGTCAATGGGGCTGGCTTCGAACCTTGATCCTCAGATCTCAGCCTCCTGAGGAGCTCCATGCCAGGCGTGGGCCCCGGCGCCGGCTGTGAAGCCAGGCAAGCCCAGAGACGCACGGAGCCAGTGCCGGGCCCGCGGTTGCTTTGCCATGGTCCACGCTTGCCTCACGCGGGTCCTGGCCCGGCCGTGGGGGGTCCGTCCTGACACCCCCCAGTTTGGGCGGGCCCTGCTCCTGCCCGCGCCGCCTCTTCCACGGACCCCGCCCGCGAGCTGGCGCGGGGCAGGGACCCGCACCACACCTGGCCGCCGTCACTACCAGCGCTTCCCTTAACCCTGTGACGCGTGCTTCCCAGTACTTGGCCCACGCCGCTGCAAGCCCCACCTCCAGATGTTCCCCACAATAGACCCCAGTCCATGCACTGGGAAGCATGCATGAGGCCCTGGGTTCGATTCCTCAGCACCACATAAGCAAAAAGAAAAAAGCTGGAAGTGGCGCTGTGGCTCAAGTGGTAGAGTGCTAGCCTTGAGCTGAAGAGCTGAGGGACAGTGCCCAGGCCCAGAGTTCAGGCCCCACGACTGGACACCCCCCCAAAAAAAATTAAAATTAAACCCCAGTCCGCCCTGAGCCGCCTGTCTGGTCTCTGAGCCTTTTGGGGCATAACATGTGTCATTGGTATTTTCTGCAGTGCTGGGGATTGAACTCATGACCTGGTGCATGCAAGGAGAAACCTGCCCAGTCATCACTGTCACTCTTGTCTACTTGCTGTTCTTTGTCTACAGGGAGAGGCCCTGTGAAGTACCTCCATCTCCTTCCAAAAACTCTTCAGGAATGAGCAGTGGCTTAGGCCTGTGGTCCTAGTTAGGCAGAAGGCTATGATCTGAGGATTACAGTTCAAAGCCAGCCTGGGCAGGAAAGTCCATGAGACTCCTATCTTCAATTAACCACTAAAAAGACTGAAGTACACTGTGGCTCAAATAGCACAGCACCAGCCTTGAGTAAAAAAAAAAATAAGAAAGACATGGCATCTAGGTCCTAAGTACAATGCCCAGTACCAGCACAAAGAAAAAGAAAAAGAAAATCCCTCTTCACATGAGGCCAGGACACCAGGCTGCCCACCTACATGGATCCCAGCCAGAGCCCTTCGTGTCGGTCGTGGGGCTTGAACTCTGGGCCCGGGCGCTGTCCCTCAGCTCTTCAGCTCAAGGCTAGCTCTCTACCAGTTGAGCCACAGCACTACTTCTGGTTTTCTGGTGGTTACTTGGAGATAAGAGTCTCAGGGACTTTCCTTGCCCAGGCTGGTAAGGAATGGTGATCCTCAGATCTCAGCCTCCTGAGTAGCTCGGACTACAGGAGTGAGCCACCAGCACCCAGCTCAGCCCAGAGCCCTAACAGCTGGCCAGAGCCCATGACACTGTGTGCACCAGCCTGTGCTGAAAGTGGCCAAATACAAAGTCCCATCCAGAGAACCATACCCCACCATCACTTAATACACTGCTGAACCCCAACAGTCCCTGAACCCAAACGCATACATCACAACAAAAGAGTACAAAAGCCATGACAATCAAGACAACATGCCAAATTCAAAAGCCAGCAACAATCCAGGCAACAACCCTAGAAAGAGCAAAGAAGAGATGGAGGATAAACTGACCATTAAAGCAATGATGAGAGAATTAGCCAATAAAATAAAAAGGGAGATCCAAAACCCAATATAAGGAGGAAATGACCAAGAATATTACAGGCTGTCCAAAAAGAGATAGAAGCACTTACACATGTCATTAAAAGATGAAGTTGGCCAGGTGCTGGTGGCTCGTGCCTGTAATCCTAGCTACTCAGGAGGCTGAGATCAGGATTCAAAGCCAGCCCAGGCACATGAGACTCTTTTATCTCTAAGCAACCACCAGAAAACTGGAAGTGGCGCGGTGGCTCAAGTGGTAGAGCATTCGCCTTGAACTGAAGAGCTCAAGGATAGCACCCAGATCCCCAAAGTTCAAGCCCTAGGACAAAAAAAAAAAAATCAGACCAAGTTAACACTCTGAGAACTGACTTCAACAAAGAGTTGTTTACTTATTGCAAGCCACAGTTGAAACCTTAAGCAACAGAGTAAGTGAAACAGAAATAGGAGTGAAGGATAGCCAGCTGTGGTGGCTCATGCTGGTAGTCAACGAAGATGATGACGCAGGAAGATCACAAGTTCGAGACCAGCCTAGGCTACACCCCCCCCCAAAAAAAAGAGTGGAGGGTAAAACAGAAGAATTAGAAGAAAAAAAATCAAAGGCATGGGGAAACAACAACAACAACAAAAACCCAGAACATATCAAAGGAAAATTCAAAACTAAATTCAGTGAAAAAATCAAATCTACAGTCAGGAAGGCCAGGCAGAAATCAAAACTCAGGGCCTTGAAAACCCATTCAAAAAAGCAATAACAGGAAACATACCCATCTCAAGAGAGCAAGTAGCACCCACCTGACAGGCATACAGAATTCCTAGTAGACAGGATCCAAGAAGACAGACTGCTACACACATTGTCATGAGAACTCTAGACTTATAAAACAAGGAATTAATTATATAAGTCAAGTAAAATAAAAGAAGGAACTATACTATAGCAGAAAGATGAAAATTACTGCAGATCTCCCCACAGAAACAGTGAATGCAAGGAGAGCCAGGAGACATGTAACTCAAACCCTGGAGATGAACAACTGCCAACCCTAACTGGTACCCACGGGCGCTATCTTCCACAATGGCAAAACTAAAACCTTCCCCGACAAACAAAAACTAAAGGGATTCATGAACACTAAACCCTGCACTACAAAGGATATTTAAAACAAAAAACAAGGTCCAACCATTTGTTGTTTCCAAGACAGTCATGTCACACTGATAAACAAATTCCCAGTGAAAGGATGAGAAAAAAATCTTTCATGCAAATGTATCTTTCAGCACTGGAGTAGCCATATGGAATCTGATAGACTTCTCACTAAAATCAGTAGAAAGACTAGGAAGGTCATTGCATATTAATAGAGGGAATGATCCCTGAAAAGGAAATCACAGTGGTTAATATTTATGCACCAAACAGTGGATCAACTAAATACATTAAACAAACACTTGTGGACTCACTGAATACGACAGACCAAAACACAATAATGGAGATTTTAACACTCCACTCTCACCAAAGGACAGGTCAACCAAACCAAAGGGGGCTTGAACTCAGGACCTGTGTTTTTATGCTCCAGGCTAGAGCTCTACGCCATGAGCCAACCTGGGCTGTATGTGTGGACACAACTAAGCCAGAGTTATACAGCAATAATATGAAGAGTACACCACACCAAAATGCTATAGGTACTTTTATTATAAAGTATAGCAATTATAAATGTACGAGAAACATGTTAATCACAAGCTGTTTTTAAGAGAAAGTCAACATTAGAAAGTTGTGTATAGCTAGGCGCTGGTGGCTCATGCCTGTCATCCTAGCTACTCAGGAGGCTGAGATCTGAGGATCTCGGTTCAAAGCCAGCCCTAGCAGGAAAGTCTGTGAGACTCTGATCTCCAATAAACCACTCAGAAAACCAGAAGTGGCACGGTGGCTCAAGTGGTAGAGCACTCCCCTTGAGCTGAAGAGCTGAGAGACAGTGCTCAAGCCCAGAGTTCAAGCCCAACTGACCAAAAAGAGAAAGTTTGTGAGGTTGGGCGCCGGTGGCTCATGCCTATAATCCTAAGCTACCCAGGAGGCTGAGATCTGAGGATCTCGGTTCAAAGCCAGCCCGGCCATGAAAGTCCGTGAGACACCTATCTCCAATAAACCACTAGAAAACCAGAAGTGGCACTGTGGCTCAAGCGGTAGAGCGCTAGCCTTGAGCTGAAGAGCACAGGGACAGCTCCCAAGCCCAGAGTTCAAGCCCCACAACTGACCAAAAAAAAAAAAAGTTTGTGTACTGACTGATTTAGGAAAATGTTTGGTGCAGAGGCCAAGAACCTGGCACAAACACAGCACCTGCAAGATGCCCGGAATGCCCACAAATGGAAGTGTATTGTGTACCCCACGACTCCAGCCTGCTCCTCGCATACTTTATGCTCTCCACAGGTACAAATGAGCATGTTTAGGAGCAAAGACTACTTGAATGGGTCAGTCTCCTGGCTGGCTGGCTGGTAGCTCCCAGCCTTTTCACTGCTCATCTCCTTGAACCACAGGGAGACTTAGGGGATCATTTTCAACCTGTCCTTTGAATTTCACCTTCTACCAACATTGCTTATTGAAAATACCCAAATTAGATGGGGAGAATAAACAAAAGGCAATTTGTTGCTGACAGCATCGCAGCCACTGGGCTTCTTACCTCGGAGGTTCCACCTTAGGATCAAGGTTAGGTTTGGAGCCAGGTGCAGGTGGCTCACACCTGTAATCCTACCTACTCAGGAAGCTGAAATCAGAAGATCAAGGTTTGAAGCAGCCAGCCAGGACAGGAAAGTGTATGAGACTCTTCAAAAACACGACCAAAGGCCTGGGAAGGTGGCTCAGTGATAGAGTGCTTGCCTTGCATGCATGAGGCCCTGGGTTCGATTCCTCAGCACCACATAAGCAGAAAAAGCAGGAAGTGGAGCTGTGGCTCAAGTGGTAGAGCACTAGCCTTGAGCTGAAGAGCTGAGGGACAGCACCCAAGCCCAGAGTTCAGGCCCCAAGACTGACCAAAAAAAAAAAAGGCAGCAGTGGAGCTGTGGTTCAAGTGGTAATGCACCAGCCTTGAGCACAACAGCTCAGGCAGAGGCACGGCGTTGAGGCTTGGCACACAAGGTCTGGGTGGGCAGAAGCAATTCTCAGGACCGCACACAGCCCAAGTCCTGGCAACCCCGCTGGAGACTGCAGCGATGGCGGGCGGCATCTACACCACACTGTGAGTTGTGCAGTGGTGCCTGAAGGACGTGCTGTGCCCCAAGGCCTTGCCGCAGTCCCCGCACTGGAAGGGCTTCTCCCCGGTGTGCGTGCGCACGTGCCGCTGCAGGGCAAAGTTGTCGCTGAAGGCCTTGCCGCAGTCCCGGCACACGAAGGGCTTCTCGCCGGTGTGCGTCCTGCGGTGGCGGAGGAAGTTGGCGTTCTGGGTGAAGGCCTTGCCGCAGTCCCCGCACACAAAGGGCTTCTCGCCGGTGTGCACGCGCATGTGGCGCACGAAGGATGAGGAGTAGAAGAAGGCCTTGGCGCAGTGGTGGCACTGCAGCGGCCGCACGCCGCTGTGGCTGCGGTGGTGGCGGATGAGCACGGACTGGTGGGCGAAGGCTTTCCCGCACTGGCCGCAGGAGAACGGCTTCTCGCCGGTGTGCACGCGCAGGTGCTGCACCAACGCGGCGCTGGCGCTGAAGGCCTTGCCGCAGTGCGGGCAGGCGTAGGGCTTCTCGCCTGTGTGCGTTCGCCGGTGACGGAGGAAGGTGGAGCACTGCGTGAAGGCCTTGCCGCACTGGCCGCACACGTAGGGCTTCTCGCCCGTGTGGATGCGCAGGTGCTGCGCCAGCGAGGAGTTGTCGCAGAAGGCCTTGCCACAGACCCCGCACACGAAGGGCTTGCGGCCCGTGTGCGTGCGGTGGTGCTGGGCGAAGGCCGAGCGCTGGGCGAAGGCCCGGCCGCACAGCCCGCACGCGTACGGCTTCTCCCCGGTGTGCGTGCGCTGGTGCCGGGCGAAGGCCGAGCGCTGGGCGAAGGCCCGGCCGCACTGTCCGCACGCGAATGGCGGCGGGCCTGCGTGCGCCCGTGCGTGCTGCGCGAACGAGGAGCGGTAGGAGAAGGACTTCCCGCACTCCCCGCACGGGAAGGGCTTGGCCCCACCGTGCGTCATGCAGTGCTGTGCGAAGGAGGAGCGGTGGGTGAAGGCCTTGCCGCAGTCACCGCACACGTACGGCCGCTCCCCGGTGTGCACGCGCCGGTGTTCTGTGAGGTGGCAGCGCCGCGTGAAGCCCTTCCCGCACTCTGGGCACCGGTGGGGCCGCCCCGCAGAGGCCTGAACGGGATCTGGCCCGCAGTCCCCAGGCTTGGCTCCCGCACAGATTTGGGGATGCCCCGCCAGCGGCCACGTCGTACTCAAGCACTCCATATCCACCCCACACCATTCTGTGGGCGGGGAGGCAGGCGGGTGGAGGCCGTGGGGCAGGGGAGGGCTGCAGGGCTCCGGTGGTGGCGTCCCGCGCCGGTCCAGCGGCTGCGACGGCAGTCCGAGGAGCCGGGGCTGCGCGGGGAGGGCTGGCAGGGGCGTGCCGGGCGTGGGGGGCGCCAGTCTCACCTGGTCTCCTGGAGGGAATGCAGCGTATATGCCGTTAGTGAGGCTGGGCTCCTCCCCGAGCCCGTGCACTGCGCCCCCGGACCGCTCAGTCTCACAGAAAGTCTCACAGACTTTCTTGCCCGGTCTGGCTCTGAACTGTGCCCCTCAGATCTCAGCCTCTTGAGCAGCCAAGATTGCAGGTACGAGCCCACAGCTTTAGTTAGAAATATGTCAGCATCACAAAGGCAAGTGAGGATAAGCACATCAAATAACTAAGTACACTAACCTAGAGAGCTGGGGCTGGGAAGGTGGCTCAGTGGTAGAGCGCTTGCCTTGCAAGCATGAGGCCCTGGGTTTGATTCCTCAATACCACATACACAGAAAATGCCGGAAGTGGCGCTGAGGCTCAAGTGGTAGAACAAAAAAGAAGCTCAGGGGCGGTGCCCAGGCCAAGTGCAAGAGCCAGGACTGGCAAAAAAAATAAAATAAAAAATAATAAGCTAGAGAGCTCTATCAGAGATAATGGGAGGAGGGAGAGGCAATGGAGTGATCAGCACTAGGATTCTGGGTACAATGGAGTTGGACTATGAAGGGCTTCTCCTAGCTGGTTTTTGGCCTTCTCCACTAACTAAAGGAACTATTAGTTGAAAATGAGAGGGAGGAAGCAGGCAGATCTCCAAGGCTACGTTAAGACCACAATGGGACAAGGAACTGTCCTTTCTTTTGCCTCAGGTTCCTACCTCCAGCTGAACCACATTCTGAAGTCCTTTTGTATCAAGTGGGTAACTCCCATGTACTCTGCATCCACTCTGTGCCTTTTTCCATGTCCAGTTGCAATTGACCTAGCTACCACATCTTACTCCTTTGTCCAAAGCATCCTCTTCTTGGAAAACCACCAATTTTGGGCAGATCTTGCTACCTAGACTCTGTGGCAATTTGGAACAACATTGTCAGGCTGAGGCTGTATGTGCAAGACACTTCACACAGTGCAAGCCCTGATGGAGACACAGGGATTATGAAGAAGAGCACTGACCATAATACCCTTAGGAAAGCAACCTCGGCCAGCCCTGCCTTGAAAGAGTGAATGGAAACAGGCTAGAGGTCCTCTAGATGGAAGGGAAGGGGCCTTACCCAGTGAGACCAGAAGCTGGTAGGTCTCAAGCATCACTTCCTGGTACAGGTTCCTCTGGCCCAGGTCCAGATGTTCCCATTCTTCCTCAGTGAAGGTCACAGCCAAATCTTCAAATGATATCGATGCCTGGAAACCCAAACAGAGCTGGTGGGATGGCTGTGCAGGTAATAGGTCAGATCTGAGCTTACTGCTTTGATACAGACAAGAAACGGGGACCGGAGGCCTGAACGAGGGAGCATCTTCTGAGCAATGCTCCTGAGGCTGGGCTTAGGACGGAGGCAGCTGGGACTGTCAACCCCATGAACACTGGTGAGGAATAGCCAGTAATAAGCTGGGGAGGGAGGAGAGAGGGATGACAAATGAGAGTAAAAACAAGTACAGCAGCAGTTGAGGCTCAGGGTCTGTCTGTGGCTTTGCATAATTGTGTTAAAAACAAAGGAAAGCCTCTAGGTTGGATAGATTTAAAGCTCCAGCCAATGTCGCCACATGTGTAGTCTTTGAGAAGTCTCGATTTCTTTGAGATTCATTTTCCAATCATAGCTCCTACTATGACAGACTTTAATTTCATAAATCAAAGAGAAAATGTTGCCAGGCACCTGTGGCTCATACCTGTAATCCTAACTACTCAGGAGGCTGAGATCTGAGGATGGAGGTTCAAAGCCATCCTGGGCAGTAAAGTCCATGAGACTCTTACCACCAATGAACAACCAGAAAACCAGAAATGGAGCCGTGGCTCAAAGCAGTATAGCACTAGCCTTGTGCAAAAGAACTCAGAAGCAGAGCCCAGGCCCTGGGTTCAAACCCCCACAACCAACCAAAAACAAAACAACAGCAGCAATAAGAAAATGTTCATTAAGCAGACTGCACAGCCTGCCTGTGTGTTTGTAAACTTTACGGATCATCCCGTAGCTTGTGACATACACGCTACCACCTTCTCCCCTGAGGATCGGAGACACCCCAGCTTCATGTATCTAACCCAAGAGGCAGGAATGGTCCTGGGTCCCTCTGGTCCGTGGTCTGTGGCTGAGAATCCTTTCCTGACACTACGATGAATCCCCAGAAACAGGGGCAGAAAGTTGTTCAATAATTTTACACTTAAATACATTTTTTTACACTCTTAAAAGTATTTAAAAATGGGAAGTGGCGCTGTGGCTCAAGTGGTAGAGCGCTAGCCTTGCGCTGAAGAGCTGAGGGACAGGCCCAGGCCCGAGCCGTATCCCCACGGTCCCCTCCGTCAGTCCCTCCGCCTCTCCTGAGGGCCACAGGTAGCAGGGGTCGGGGCAGCCAGTGAGCGTGCGGAGCACTCGCTAACGGGGAGCCCCCTTCGGCGTCTGCACCTGGACTTGAGGGCGCTTAGGCTGGGACCCTCGCCCCCCAAAGCCTCAGAACTGCGGGGAAGGCCGAGAACCCGCAGACCCCGCCCTCCCCCCACGCACGGCCGGGCCGCGGCGCGCGCGGACCGAAGGCCCGACACTCACCAGGGCCAGAGCCGCCATGGCACCGCCGGGCTCGGCCTGCAGCTTCGGCTTCCGGGCGGCGGGAGCACGAGAGGGTGACAGCGACGACTGTCCCCCCCACCCCCCCGCTTCTCCGTCCTCCTCTCCTGAGTTTGGAAAGGCCTAGAGAGCGGCAGCTGAGGAGAGACTCGGCGCCAACTCAGAGGACAGTCACAGCCAAATGACGTCTCCGGCACAGCGCCGGAAGCTCCACCCACACGGCCTCAGGAGTCTTCGGCAACGCGTGATTGGCAGAGACTGCTTCTCTGTAGCAATGCCTCCTGGGAAGTGTAGTTTCGGACCTGAACCCGAGCGCCACCTAAACAAATTTCCGGTTTCCTGCTAAACGGCCTCTTAAAAAGTTACTAGGGGAGGGCGTGGCTTCGCGTCTGTCTGCAGGCAAAGGCCAAACTTCTCTGAAGGCTTTGTGGTTGGGTGATGAGGATGTGAAGATGGCGGTTCAAAGCCAGCCCCAGCAGGAAAGTCCTTGGCATTCTATCTCCAATTAACCGCCAAAAAGACATAAGTGGAGCTGCGGCTCAAGTGGAGTGCCAGCCTTGAGCAACAAAGCTCAGGGGCAGTGCTGAGCTCAAGCCCCAGCATGGACAGATGGGAACAGACGATATACACATGGACACACACACACACACACACACACACAAACACTATTCTTTAAGGGCCTTTTTCTTCTTGTTGCAAATCTTGTCTGAAATGTACACCATCACGAATACCTATATCAATCTAGGGCCTGTTTTCACTGTTCAGCAGTGCAGGTCCAGCTGGTTTCCTGTAACCTCCCTCTTGGTCCATGAAGGACCCAATCCTGTTTCTGCAATGATTTCTGATCTTACCAGTGATTCAAACCCCAGAATCAGGGCTGGGAAGGTGCTAGCCTTGTATGCATGAGGCCCTGGGTTTGACTCCTTAGCACCACATAAGCAGAAAAAGCCAGAAGTGGTGCTGTGGCTCAAGTGGTAGAGCACTAGCATTGAGCTGAAGAGCTGAGGGACAGCGCCCAGGCCCAGAGTTCAGGCCCCATGACCAAAAAAAACCAAACCAAAACAAACCATATATCATATGTATGCTCCCACACAGACCCAGACCCGTAAAAGCCAAAACCATGGGAAGAGGGTCTCAGGAACCAAAGAGTAATGTTGGATCTGAGAACAGGAAACAAGGAGACTTCCAAAGGGGTCAGTAATACTGTCCAGCATTCTTCAAAGAAGCTTAATGCTCTAAGAATGTCCATCCGGTCCTTTTCTTAACAGTCACAATTGTCAAAGACAAAACTACAACAAACTATGTCAAGAAACTCAGTTGAATTTTATTTATGATTCAAAAATCAGGGAAAGCCAGGCATGATGACTTATGCCTATAATCCTAGCCAATCAGGGGGTTGAGATCTGAGGATCATGGTTTGAAACCAGCCCAGGCGGAAAAGTTGTGACTCTTTTCTCCAATAAACTACTCAGAAAAAGGTGAAAGTAGTGCTGTGGCTTTAGTGGTTAGAGCGCTAGCTTGAGCACAAAGGTCAGGGACAGAGAAGCTCCAGGACCAGCCCCCCAAAAAACAAAAAAACAGGAAAAACTCCATTCTACAAAACAGAATGAGAGCTCCCACTAGTTAAGAGCATAGATTTTGGAAAATGGAACAGTAGAAAATACAACAGTTAGAAAACACTTGATGGAGTGACATCACATGACTGCAGTTATTATTGTTACAAGACTGAAACCAAAGGGGGATTTCTGAATTATGATGATGGAGGTAGTCTGGAATCTTCTATTTCCAGGGAGAAATGGGTCCTTTTTTGGATTCATCTGTTTCTTTGTAGCTCCACTTTGACTATGTAGCACTTAGCATGGCAACAGTCCATTTTGGTTTGGTATTATCTGCTGGTGCTAGTGAAGGAGCTCAGTCCCAAAGAATGACTTAAAGCTAGGCATTGGTGGTGCAGACCATAATCCTAGCTACTCAGAAGGTGGAGATCTGAGGGTCACGGTTCGAAGCCAGTCCAGGCAGGAAAGTCCATGAGACTCTTATCTCCAATTAATGACTCAAAAAAGCTGGAAGTGCTGCTGTGACTCAAGTCAAAGAGTGTTTGCCTTGAGCAAAAGAAGCTCAGGGACAGGGCTGGGAAGGTGGCTCAGTGGTAGAGCGCTTGCCTTGCATGCTTGAGGCCCTGGGTTCGATTCCTCAGCACCACATAAGCAAAAAAGAAAAAAGCTGGAAGTGGCGCTGTGACTCAAGTGGTAGAGCGTTAGCCTTGAGCTGAAGAGCTGAGGGACAGTGCCCAGGCCCAGAGTTCAGGCCCTATGACCGGACCCAAAAAAACAAACAAACAAAAAAGAAGCTCAGGGACAGTGTCCAGGCCCCAGGACCAGCAAAACAAAACAAAATAATAACCAAAAATAATGACAATTTTAATTTTGTTTCTCTTTGCTACAGAAACCCTACATTAAAGGCAAACACAACCAATGACCTACAGCCCTAGCCCAAACACTGTACAAATTGCTAGTAGATGATTCCTACATTCCAAGGTCTTGTAATTAGGATTTCAATGTAAGATTTATAGGGGAATGTGGTCCATTCCGTAAGAGATAAACAGAGCTAGGTGCTGGTGGCTTACACCTGAAATCCTAGCTAGTGAGGAGGCTGAGATCTGAAGATCACGGTTCAAAGCTAACCTGGGCAGGAAAGTCTATGAGACTCTTATTTCTGATGAACCGCCAAAAAGCCAGAAGTGGAGGTATAGCTCAAATTCTAGAGCACAAGCCTTTAGCAAAATAGCTAAGGTACAATGTTCAGGCCCTAAGTTCAAGCCCCAGGTTGAGAAAAAAAAATCTGGAAAATTCAAAAATTTATGAAAATTAAACCAAATACTAAACGTTTAATAAGAGAAATCACAAATGAGATTATAAAACATTGAGAGATGAAATAAAAGGGAAACAATGTACCACCAAACTTAGGGGGCAAGAGCATAAACAGTGCCAAGGGGGGGGGAGGGTTGCTAGTTATAAAATTTACATTAAAAAATAAGGCCTGACCCAGGAGCCAGTGGCTCACGCCTGTTATCCTAGCTACTCAGGAGGCTGAGATCTGAGGATCATGGTTCAAAGGCAGCCTGGGCAGGGAAGTCCATGAGACTCATCTCCAAATAACCACCAGAAAACCGGAAGTGGCGTTCTGGCTAGCCTTGAGCTGAGGAGCTCAAGGACAGCACCCAGGCCCAGTATTCAAGCCCCATGACTGACAAAATAAAAATAAAAATTTTAATTAAAAATAAGGCCTGAGCAGGATGCAGGTGATTCACACCTGTCCTCAAGAGACTGGGATCTGAGAACTGCCATTGTGCCTGAAAGCCAGACTGAACAGGAAAGTCTGTGAGCCTCTCCAATTAAACAGCAAAAAGCTGAAAATGGCCAGGCACTGGTGGCTCTCGCCTGGAATCCAAGCTAATCAGGAGGTTGAGAGATGAGGATCACCATTTGAAGCCAGCCCAAGCAAGAAAGTCCATGAGACTCTACTCTCCAATAAACCACCAGAAAACCAGAAGTAGAGCTATGCCTCCAAGTGGTTGAGCGCTAGCCTCGGGCAAAAGAACTCAGGGACAGTGCTCAGGCCCTGAGTTCAAGGCCCAGAATGAGCACCAAAAAAACAAACAACAAACAAAAACGATGGAGAAAGATACACTAATTTTTAGAGCTATTACCCTTCTTACCCCTATTAGCCCTAATAACCAGAGGGAGCCACTTGTGTCCACTGATACATGAATAAACCAACAAGCCTTGGAATAAGCAATGGAATTCTATACAGACTTGAAAAGAAATCCTGACACAGTGAGCCCAAAAAGGAATGAACCACACAAACACGCAGCACGGAGATTCTCGAGATAACCACGGCTTTCACACATAAACATACTCTCTGGTTGAAATCTGAACTAACCTAAAAATGTTAATGTAAATGAAACAACAACAAAAAAGACAATTAAAAAGTATTTACATACAAAACAAACCAGGTCAGTTGGTCAGCGGTGGCTCACGCTGGTCACCCTAGCTACTCCAAAGGCTGAGATCTGAGGATCGTCATTCAAAGCCAGTCAGGACAGGAAAGTCCAGGAGACTTTTTTTTTTTTGGTCAGTCCTGAGGCTTGAACTCAGGGCCTAAGTGTTCTGAGTGCCACTTCCCCATGAGACTCTCCAATGAACCAGCAGAAGACCAGAAGTGGAACTGTGGCTCAGAGTGGTAAGCACTAGCTTGAGCAAAAGAGCTCAGGGACAGCGCCTGGGTCCTGAATTCAAGCCCAGGATTGGTGCTCATGTGTGTGCGTGTGTGCAACACACACACATACAACACCAAAAAAAAAGGGATTAAGTACCTTATTACTCCAATTGTATACAATTCTAAGGAAGGCAAATAAATCCACAGTGAAAAATACTTAAACCAATGGCTTCCCTGGGCTGTGCTTATTGGTTTCTAGGGAAGCCTGAGGAAGGCACGGAAGGATTAATAAGGGGCATGAGGTAGCTTGTTTTTTGTTTTTAGCAGGCATTGATCCTTGAACTCAGAGCCTGGGTCTTTCCCTTAGCTTTTTCCTCCCAAGTTAGCCCTCTACCACTTGAACCACAGCTCCACTTCCATCTTTCTGATGACGACTGATTAGAGATGAGTCTCACAAACTTCCCTGCCCAGGATGGCTTTTTTTTTT